AAGTTACCTCTGGTTGTTCTGGTTATACCTGTTGTAAGTTACCTCTGGTTGTTCTGGTTATACCTGTTGTAAGTTACCTCTGGTTGTTCTGGTTAACCAGAACATCTGGAGCTTGTTTGCCGCAGCTCTGTAATAAAAACAGTTCAGATCTTCAGGTTTATGGGTCTAAACTTCTGTTTCTGCAGCGCTGGAGAAACGACTGCTGACCTGCATCTTTGAGGACAGAAAGAAGAATTTATTTGGACCCATCCCGGGTTTCATGCTCCTTTCTGGGAGTGCACCTGAATCGCCGTATGAGAGGGACTCGGACGTGCCCGCCTTCACACAAGACTCCAAGAAGTTTCCAACGATGGTGAGAAGACATCTTCATTTGTTTAGTAAAATGGTCGCTGGCGTCATTATAGATCACATTTTTATTATTAATGTTTCCTTCTTTCGTCCTAGCCCGGCTCACCGGCATCCCACTCCAACGGGGTGCTGGTCCCTCCACGCAGACCCAAACCAGACCAGGACAGAACCACGTCAGAAACTCATAGGTTCCCGTTTTTCGACAGGGAGCCCTTCAGACCCGTGACTGAGTTCCTCCCACAGTTTGACATAAACAAGTTCCACATGACCGAAGCCCTCGGGCCCGACGGTTCCACACAAAAGGCCCCGACCAAGTCGGAGATGCCGGCACCTTCTCCATCATCACCGTCACCACCGTCTCTGCCACTCTTGCCCTCTGACCCCCACACATCAGGTGAGTCCAAAAAGAAACGTCCAAACCTAAACCGTTTTTGACCTCTCAGTAATAAAACAAAATCAAATAGACTCCAAAGTCTTGTAATTTTTTGTGTCCAGCTGAGGGCTGCAGCCAGATCCTGGACCCGGGACCCTGTCGGGACTACATGGTGAAGTGGTACTACGATGCTACATCAAACGCCTGCGCTCAGTTCTGGTTTGGAGGCTGCTTCGGAAACAAAAACCAGTTTGAGACTGAGGAGAAGTGCAGCGAAACCTGCGTCAAGTTCTAACAATCCTTTCATCAAAAACACAAATCTGAACAACTGAAAACTCATCAAAAACATAAAATGTTCTTATTTTTGTTACCTGTACGGTCATGGAATTGAAACAATAACTTTTGGGACTRTTAGGTTTGAAACTGCTGAACTGTAGTTTTAGTTCTGACTGATTACTGTGTCCAAGTCTATCAAGGATATTTGTCTTTAAATCATTTCAAACTTTTAATAGTGGCACAACAAACAGATTTTGTGTTTTTTCTGTTGAAACTGAACTTTAACAGTTTTACCTCTGATTCTTGAGTCCTGATCCAAAATACAACCAAGAGCTCCAATAAGAAAAATGTGTTTATTTACTGAATAAACGAGGAATAAAAATTCACTTTTTATACCAGAGCTGCGAAAAAAGTTTCATTATTCATTGCTCATTATTATTGTTTATGAAAATGCTAAAGGGCGTAGTTCCTATAGGGCAGGGGTCTGCAACATGTGGCTCTTGGGCCACAAGTGGCTCTTTGGTCCCTCCACAGTGGTTCTTTGAAAATGTGACCAAACGTAATAGATTTATTTATTATTTTTGTTTTTCATACTCACAACAGAAATTAAATATGTGATTAATACTACTAATACAAAAAGGTAAAAACATGCTAGCTCATGCTAGCATGTTGTTTACTTAAATAATCCAACTTCTGTATGATCTTTCTCTCAAATCCATCTGAATTACCTTTAGAGAAAAGACTACATTATACGAAGAATTAGAAACAAAATATGCCTGAATAGTTCAGATGTTCAGTTTATGAAATTCGGTGCTAACTATAARGAGTATTTTTCTTGTTTGCATGAATCTGGTGTTTTCATTTGTCCTGATGTGTAAAAATAGTAATAAATAATCAAATTCACAACATATTTTTTAGTTTTATAACATCACCTCCACTGACCGTAAAGGTTCCCAAAAAGGCCCACGGACCACCAGTTGGTGACCACAGTTGAAGCTTATTTTGCGGCTCTGGACACATTTAATTAGTGAGCCAAGTAGCAGAAATGACCCTTTTGATCATGAAGGTTGCAGACCCCCGCTATAGGGGAAAGATTCTGTTCGGGAAAATATTCTAATTCTAAAAATATTCTATTTTTAATTTACAAAAGAGAGATTCATGTGAGGGAAAAATTCTGTTAAGGAACAATTCCTTTAGGGCTGGATTGTGTAAGGAAAAGATTTACGTAGGTAAAATTCTGATAAGGAAAGGAAGGAATGGAAATGGGGTGAAATTATGCTAGGGAAAGATACGTGTCGGAAAAGTGTATTAAAAATGTGTAAAATAAAGATTCCCTTAGAGAAATAAATTCAGAATGTTTGAAGTTAACTTTGGGTTAAATTTAAGGGGAAAAAAATCCTGTTAGGCAAAACTAGAAGAAAGACAAATCTCACAGGGTATATGGTGTTGGAGAAAGTTCCTGCCAGAAATAATTCTGTTAGGAAAGATTCCTGAGGAAGAATTCTCACAAGGGTTCAATTAAGAAAAGATACATGTTGGAAAAATTCTGTTAAAGAAAGATTCCAGTATGGTAAACATTCCATTATAGAAATAACAATTATTTAAAGGGTAAGATGATCTTAGTGAACAATGGCAAAACCTTCTGTAGGAGAAAGATTCTGTTAGGAGAAAAAAAAAACTCATGGGGTATAATATGTTTAGGAAAGATTCCTGCAGGAAATAATTCTGTTAGACAAAGAATCCTGTAGGGGAAAAACAGTTAGGGAAAATTATCAAGGGGACGATTAAGAGACATAAATGAGAAAGATTCTGTTTGAGATAAATTCCATTCAGACAAATTTCCAAGAAAGAAAGATCTTGTTAGATAAAAAAATCCCCGCAAAGGAAAAATTAATTTTTATTGATCATCGTCAGGTTTATAAACGTTGAATAAAAAACACTGAAAATTCACCTGTAATTCTCCAGATTTATTTTTCTGTTCAGACGCTCCATTTGGACAAAGTCACTGAGTTTCATATCAACTGGGCTTCAACTAGAAATCATTTTGGACCATGATAATCTTTCAAAATGTGAAATAATTCATTTTTTTCCTAAACGGTAAAGAGCTGCGTTTGGAATAAACAATGATCCAACAAACAGAACCTTGGCTCACACTCTAAAAAGTAAAATAAAAAACAAGTTTGCATAACAATGAGCTCAGCTGCAGCGGCACGGTTTCACCTCCCATCAGCAGGATGACTCACAGAAAAACATCCCAGTTTCTAATTGGACCTGATTACATGTAATTAAAGAAGAGAGGCTCTCAGAAACAAAACAATCCAGCTGGAGAAGAAAACAAAAGGTCTTATGGAGAGCCTGAGAATATAAAGCAGTAAAAAGTAAAACCAGAGGCAGTAAAGTGGAAATTAAATCATATCTGTTCTGTTACATTCATTCTGTCAGTGGTGATTCGTTTAGAGCAGCATCACTTGTAGAAGATGAGAAAAGAAGACATGATGATGTATCCAGGCTGCCGAGACGGATTAGGATCCATCCCGTTGAACAGGCCGAAGTAGAGGACAGAGTTGGACTTCACTTCGCTCACGATCAGCTGAAAGAGACAAAAGACGTCCTCTAACGTCTCAGAATGTCTCATGTAGAAGTTAATTCACGGAGCTGTCGAGACAAACCTGTTTGGTGACGTCCACCCTCCAGGGGTCGACCTGCAGACCGTCGCACCAGCCCCCTCGCCCGTACAGCCACGTTCCGTGTTCGTTTGGCACCGCGCCGTCTCTGACCCGCAGCGTGCAGCCCAGAGCCGATCCTATCAGAACCAAAGGGACGGAAAAACTTAAACTGTGCAGGAAATAAAGTTCAACCAGCACCTGTCTTCTGATGGAAAAACAAACGACTTCAAAGAATTCAACCGTTTATCTGGAGAACTTCCTGTGAAGACGCAGTGTGAATGCTTAGTGCTGAAAGATTTATGCTAACAAAGCTTAAGTCAATGATAACCAATCAAAAGTCATAGAATCATTATGTCTAGTTGTGAAGTTTGACATCCATGCCTACGCTAATCGATTATGAAATTAGAGCCATTTAAACTTTGGGGTGACCTTTGACCTTGACCTTTGACCCCCCCATAAACCTAAAATCACTTAGAGTCATTGTTGACCCGCAAAGTGTCTAACTGTGAAGTTTGGCATCCCTACATTAAACGGTTGCAGCGTTAGAGCTCAAACAATAAAGTGCAGCTAGTTAGCACAAACAGGGGAAATTAGATTAAAAATGCTAAAATTAGCTAATAACAGCTAATAGTTGCTAAACAGGTAGAAAACTGCTACGTTTAGCAGAAAACAGCTGAAAGAAGCACAGAACTTTAAATGTGAACTAGACATGGGTTTTTACGATGTAAAAACAAGTGTGCGTTGCCTTGTAGCATGTCTTTGCCTGCAGCAATGGACTTGCAGAATGAAATGTGACCAAGTTCAAATGTGTTTTCTACACCAGCTTGTGCCTGTCAGGTCAGCAGGTGTTTGTAATGAAGGTAATTGTGTGACAATATGAAGTTTGTAGAGATTTTCTGTTAACGTTACTGTTGCTGGGTTTCAAACCCTGATCTCCTACATGAAAGTCCATGGCACTAACCATGAGACCATTAGAGCTGCAGTAGAGAATGAGGCCAGGGTTTGGTTTGTATGTGTGCAGAAAGTGGCCACATTTCCAATGTAATGGTTGTCACTAAATTGAAAAATATTACAACAATAAAACAATATTAGGACAATATTATAGTAAAACATCAAAATACAATCATATTAATATTGTAACCACTGGACTATTGAGATTAAATATTATTAAACTATGGTGCAGTACTGAGTAGATACAGCAGGGGCAGTGTTGGACCAATTCAAGGTTCCATTGACTCCCATTATAAATTATTAAACATTAATATTTCCAAAAATATAAGTTGTACAGGCACCAAAGGTCATAGCCATCATTTGGCACAGGAGCTTTACAAATTTAAATTACAATGGCAGCTCTAGGACAAAGTATGCAGGAGGAGAAGCATGCCAATGTGGAGATTACTTGGATGAGAAACTAATCACAATAGTGTGCATTGCATTGGTAATGCACACTGATAACAGCCGAAAGGAGCAGAGAGAAAACTAAAATGGCAGAAAAAAAAGCTAAAATTAACAACAACAAAAAAAAGGCAGAAATTAGCACAAAAAAGTTAAAAAGCAGAATCTGAACTTAATCTGAAGAGCGTGGTAAATTTCTTAATATTTTAAAGGATTTCAAGGTTGTTGAAGACAGCACCATTATTTTTCAACTACAACAAAAATGGCCAAAAAAGTGAAATAGCTAAAAGTAAAAAAGGGAAAAGACTGAAATACCATGAGTCAGCATGAATGTCCTGAAGGAGCTGAACATTTTGAGATATGAACTACTGAACTATTGTGGACAAAAAGCAAACAGAAGAACTAAAAAACTTTAAACAATAAAGAGAAACCAGATCACGTAAACTTTTTAGACAAGTATGGATTTTGTTGCCAATAATGAGGATTTCCTTAAAATAATTTAAAAGAAAACGTAGATTTATTTGTGGAAGAGGATGTGAATAATCAGACAAACTGAGAGTCCTCTCCTCACCTGCAGAGTCAAATATCTGAGAGTTGTTATAAAATCCGTTGATCAGGAAGTGGTGCGAGGTGACGCAGAACTCTCCACAGCCGTTCTCATCGCTGCCGTGTCCCGTGATGACGGCGTACAGCTCCACCTGAAAAACAAACAAACAATTAGGAGCAGAGACCACACAGGAAGGAAGGTGTGCTGACCCGTTAAACATCCGGTACCTTCTGGGTCGATGGCGGGACGGAAAATTTCACCGTGTTGAACCGCTTGTTGTAGTTGTTGTCGAAGATTCCCCCGCCGTACAGAGACATGACTCTGAAGGGGCGGGGCTTCTCCACGCCAGCATCTGTTGACGCAAAGGGCTTCGTGGTGATAGAGCTTTAACCAGCTTTTATGGATGGGTTTGGGTTAAAGTGTATCTT